TTATATGTATATAATATAGTCAACAGTTTATAGCAATCTATTACAAAATTTTATTTAAGCTACTTTAATTTCGTTCAATCTTTAATATTTTTAGGTGGTCCTTGTATGTGCATATTTTTCTATTCTCACATAATTTAAAATTGTAATGAATAAAATAAATGTATTAATCTGAAATATTCATTACAGATTTAATGAATGAATATTGCTTGTCAGAGGACTTTTGCAAACATCATTTCTTGGTTGGGCTCCTAATGCAAGAAGTCAGAACATCTTTAAATGAAATTGTACAAATTCGGAAAGTAGCAATAGCTACATTGAGAGACTTGATGGCAAAGCATGAACTTGATGATAGATATCAGAATAAAGTAAGTCAATTTTTACAATGTTGTTGTATAAAATTATGAACACAGTTGTTTGATTTAATTTCAAATTAATTAAATTATGTTATCACAGGGTCAATTAAGTAGAATAGCATCTATTTATATACCATGGCTAGGTATTGTATTGGAAAATTTGCATCGATTGCAATCCATACACGACAACAGTAAAACAGAAATGAAACAAAATGGTACTAATAGAATATCAACAAGTAGTTCATTTCTAGCAAGTAAAAACAGTGATTGTAGTACTGTAACAGCTGGAACTCCAAAATCAATACACAGGTAAATTTAAGGCCAAATTTAGTATTGTATTTGTTTTAAAAACATATAAATAAGAATAATAATTTACATGATAAAATAATGTACATAGGCTTACATTACATTTGGATACTCAGTCTCCAATAAGAGCATCTATGCACCTACGAGATTCTACATACTTCGCAGCCATAGCAGGTCAAGGCTTAGTTAATGGATATTCCTGTGCTAGTATAGAATCCGATACGTCAACAATATCTGGCATTTCTCAGTCAAATATATCTCAAGAAACTACTATCATCCGCGAACCTATCGAAAATGGTACTGGCGAAAAAAAAAGACATTCTCGTTCTTTAAGCGTCACACAGTCTTCACCTAGATGCGATAAACTGCAATCATCAGAAGTTAAAGACATTTTACTTTGCTTCTTATTTGTGATAAAATATTTGGGTGATCATCAAGTGATTGCTTGGTGGCAACAGTGTGGTGATTGTGATATTTTAAGTTTCTTTACAGTAATTGAGTAAGTTGATATCTGTCAAATCTGATAAAATCATAAAACAGTAATTATAAAATCTCTTTTCAGCATAAAATATATATTATTCTCAATATTTTCAGAATGAGTCTTCATCATTTTAAATACATTGGAAAAAGACAAATAGCTACAAATGCGGTAAATAATTCTGGAAAACCTCGCACAGTAAAAGCAATGACACTACCAGCGAGGATGGCACCTCCTGATTTTACTAATGAAGGACCTGCTACTAGTACCTTACAACCCCATAATACTACAGTCAGAGAAAATCTTGTTGAAAGTGATAGTGGAAAAATGCAGCAAGCTTTATTAGAAGCGAATATGGCAACAGAAGTTGGTCTTATTGCACTAGATTGTTTAGGATTGTTTTGTATTCATTTTAAGGTATAAAATAATGTAGTGCAGGTTTGCAAGTTTATGTGTTATAATTAAAAAGTATATCTGTTACGTTATATTTCCTCTTTTCTATAGGATGTGCTGTTAGCAGCAGATGGTGATAATCCCATAATGCAGAAAGTATTTAGTATATATTTATCATTTTTACAAGTTGGTCAATCTGAAACTTTACTACGTCATGTTTTTGCCAGTTTTCGAGCTTTTTTAAATAATTATTCTATAATTCTTTTTCAAGGTATGAATTTTAACATCTATATA